AGATCCCAGCAGAAGCGAGCAGGGTGTGCTTTCCATCCCTGTCAGGGTCAGGGAACACAGTCTGTGTGTGTGGGTGGAAGAGGCCGAGGGCTTCTGGCTGGAGCGGCCTGTGGCAACGGCAGGAATTCTCTTTGGAGATCTCCGCTTGGGGGAAGCTGGATTTTTGACTTCACCCAAAGAGAATTTCAGGGCCAGATGGCATGAAGCAGATGAAATGTAGTCAACAGATTTTTAAACACGGATTGAGCATGAGTGTTTATAGAAAGAGGCTCTCAGGGAAAAGATAAGACACACCCAAAAGTGTGGGTGTTAGGCTCCCCAAGAGGGACTCGAACGTGTAGTGGCATATATGATTGGCAGCTCTCAAGTTCCATCTTAGATGGGTCCTAAGAAACTGCCTCCCCTCCTTCCCTCTTTTTTAATTACAGGGTTGCCCTGAGGGTGCTGTGGATTGTAATCTGATAAGATAAACCTGGGTTGCCCAGAGGGGTTTAGACAAGAGTTTTATTATAAACGGGATTTCTTGTGAGAGTCCTTGAAAATTGCAGGTTCACAGCAGGGAAGGGGAATAAACCACATAGACCCAGGCCTTCAGGACCGCACGTTGTTATTTGAACATTCTTACTAGAAATATCTCCACACTGAAGGAACACCGTCTGTGGAGGCAGCTTTCTCAGGGGCTGTTCATTGGGCTGGAGTTCATTCATTCCTTCACTCCTTCATTCTAGTGTGGGTTTCAGGGATGGACGCCCGGGTTCTTCTGCTTGCAAAGGGAGCCCTTGACTGACTGAACCATCTCCCGAGGTTTGTACCAGAATTCTTGACTCCCACTTATTGAGAGACTTGAGCCAGAGTTGGGGGTGAGGGGTTTCCTTCCTCGCCTTGTCCCTTAACTTTCCCTTTTTAACCTACCTCAAGGGGACCACATGGAGTTAGAACACCAGGAGGCCAGGGTCCCTGGGCATCATTTTGAAGGCTGGCTACCACTGAAACCTCGTTCCAACATTCTGGCCGAAAGAGGGGTTCGCTTTTAGTTGGTGACAGCCAGTCTTGATTACAGATGTGAGTTGATGTTCAGATCCGTGACATGGGTGTCTGCCACTCACCCATGCCACTTGGCCAGTGTGACCGGTTGAGATTTGTCTACTACCTCCAGCCTGAGTATACACTTGGACAGTTAGAAACCTTCTGTGTTCAATTTGTTAGTCATTTGTGTGTATGTATGTATGTGTCTGTGTCCACCTTTGAGCATGGAAGCCAGAAGAGGTCATCAGACCCCTCAGAGCTGGGGTCACAGATGTGTGGGGATGTTCACGTGCTTATGTGCTGGGATCCCAACTCTGGTCCTGATGACTGGCAGCCAGCACTCATTCCTCCACCCCCCCCCCCCTTCTCTTGTTCCATTCACTTCCAAGCATTGCACTAAAAAAGAGTCCTCTGGGCTGGAGAGTTGGCTCAGCAGTTAAGAACACCGGCTGCTCTTGCTGAGGACCCAGTTCGGCGGGTCCCAGCACCCACGTGGTGGCTCACAAGTGTCTGTAACTCCAGTTCCAGGGATTCAACACCCTTCTGGCCTCCTGGCCTCAGGAGGCATCAGGCATGTAAGAGGTACACAGACATACATGCAGGCAAAACACACACACACATTAAGCAAACAAATAAATAGAATTTTAAAAGAATTCTCATGTTTGTGGATGTTCACCGGCCTCCATCTCTTCCCAGGAGTCTTTCTCTTACGCTTCCTCACTTCTGTCCATTTTCTCCTTCTTTCCGCTCTCCTTTGGATGCAAAGTCGGGCTTTTTAGCTCTGAGAGTCATGAGTCACGTCAAAATAAAAAGAAGACAAGTTGAGGTAACAAGTGAAGCGCACTGGACAGCCCTTCTGGGCGGCTGTCACCAGTGCGTCTGTGTCCCTAGGGTGACAGAGTCTCATCAAGCCTTTCATGTTTGCCTTCGTTCCGGAATGTCTCCTGGAGATCTCAGGCCAGGGCTGGTTTATTAGCCCCTGCTAAGGGCCACATGTTTTACAGGCTCAAAGCCAAAGTGCATTCTGTGAGGTGCAGTTCCAGAGCACGACACTAAGGGGCAGCACACACCAAAGGAAACCTTCAGGTCTGAGCCAGCCTCAGAAACCGGAATCTGCCTGGCTCTGGAACTCCAGCACTGAGGAGCCCAGCTCTCAGCTCTTAAATCCATCTTTAGCATTTTAATCTTTGCTGTCTTTTCTGTTAGAAGTTTTTTTTTTTTGTTGTTGTTGTTTCGTTTTGTTTTGTGTTTTGAGACAGAGTTTCTCTGGGTAGCCTTGGCTGTCCCAGAGCTCACTCTGTAGACCGGGCTGGCCTCAAATTCATAGAGATCCACCTGCCTCTGCCTCACACGTGCTGGGATCAAAGGCATGCACCACCACCCGGCTCCATGAGAAGTTTTACCTGTCACTTGACTTCTCCAAATAGATAGCTTTGTGGTGGAATACAACATTGTTGAGACCTACGCACTCATACAATTTGTCTATTTTTGTGCATATGTAACTTCAGTGCTTAACCTGGTAACACTTAATCCCAAATTCAAACTGTATTTCATCCAAATAACCCCCTCTGTTTTTGATGAACGAAGTTTTTAATGCAGAATAAAGGCAATTAAATAATTGGGCAGGTGAGCTGGACAAAGCCCAGTTCTTGGGAGACCACAGACCCCTTCCCTAGTTCATTGTCCATCCATCACAACTTCCCCCTCCCTCTCTCCCTCCTCCAACCCTCTCTCCCTCTCCTTCTCCACCCCCCCCCCATTCTAAAACAGGTTATCATTTCGTAGCCCAGTATTGTCTTAAACTCACATGTCTCAGGCTGACCTTGAACTTGCCATCCTCCGGCCTCAGCTTCCCAAGTACAGGGATTTCAGGTTTGCACCACACAGGTGGCTACAAGCAAGGGGGTTCTGAGCACTCCCGTGTGCCTGATTTTGCAATAAGTGCTTGTGGAACACAAAGATGGAGCCTGAGATTAAGGGAATCATTCCAGGAGCTGGAGAGATGGCTCAGAGGTTAAGAGCACTGGCTGCTCTTCCAGAGGTCCTGAGTTCAATTCCCAGCAACCACAGGGTGGCTCACAACCATCTGTAAGGAGATCTGATGCCTTCTTCTGGCCTGCAGGCATGCATGCAGATAGAATGCTGTATACTAAACAAACAAACAACAAACAAACAAATAAATAAATAAATATTTAAATAAATACAATTCTTTAAAAAAGGAAATCATTCCAAGTGTGGAGAGTGGAGAGTACGTGATGATGGTGATTACAGGAATGTCCCCAAAGCACAGTGCTAAGAAAAAAGAAAAAAGTGGGCTCCTCTGACAGCTGGGGAGCTGGGAAGGATGCAGGAAAGTTGCTGCAGGAGATGACATTTGCATTCCGTCGTCAATGAGAGGATGGGATGCAGTCAAGGCGAGAGCGCTGGATATTTCCATTTGTGTGCAGGCAGGGACAGGTCCGTCAGTGCCCGGACGTGTGGGCACTGATTGTATTGTGATCAACTACTGTGAGAGCAGAAGGGTGGCCAGACAGCAGTAGTCCAGACAGTCAGCCCAGAGTGTTGTCCGGAGCCTAGTGACTCAAGACTTGAAGGTGGCAGAGTGAGGAGCAGTGGACATTTAAACGGTGACAGAGGCTGGGGTGGAAAGTGGCAGTGGGTGACTGGGATGGTCCGAGCAGGAGGCGGGAAGAGGGTAGGCATCTTAGCTGAATCCTAGTCAAGTTTATGGGGCTCTTCAGTAAACAGGGGTCTAGATCATCCTGGTGCTCGGCAGACATCTGGGCTAAAGGTTTAGAAATTATAGACGTGCCCAAGAATACTCCGGGAACAACATTTCAGAGCTGGAGTATATAGAAGCATTCACAATTGAGGAACAGTGGCCACAAAGACTTAGCAGGAAACTGAACCGCAAGAAGAGACTCCAGCATCATCTGCGTTTTTTGCATTTAACACACTCCAGGAAAAGCAGTAGTAGGATTTTCTTCAAGATAAGGTTCCTCTGGCCACCACATCTGGCTTTTTACATGGTTGGTAGGGATCCAGCTCGAGCCTTTGTGCTTGTGAGTCACCGTCCCAGCATCCTTTCCTTAAGGTTTTTCTTACCTGGGAATCCCGCTATACATTCCTGCATACACCGTTTTCCTATCATCCACAGTTAGCAGGTAATGCATTTCTGTACTTGATCGGGCTAAAATCGGTGGCTACTGAACAAGCCAGGAAGATTTAATGCTCAACCACCTTGTCACTTATAATGCGATCCACGTACTAGTTGAGGCCTCAGCGGTTCATTAGGCTGACACAAGCTTGCGCGCGCGAGCACACACACACACACACACACACACACACACACACACACACACACACACACACACCCCTTCTTTGCTCCTTTTAGACCCCATCCTAGCCATCAACTTCAATAACTATACTTCTACCCATATTCCCACATGAGCGGAACAGAGGGCTTTCCTTCCCACGCTGCAGTCTTCCCTAAGGCCCGGCGATCACCCACCTTCCTCCACAGCCCTTGGGGCAGCAGCGCACACCTGTTCGTTCTGCTGATTAAAAACAGACTCCGCGGCCTCAGAGTTGAGTCTCTTGCCTCCGATAATTGTCATTTGTTGGGAACAGGTGTGCCAGGTGGAAACCCAGCGACCAGGGCTCAGATCATAATCGGGAACACCTGCAGACAGCTGCCTCCTGCTGAACGGGTAGGAAGTAAGGGGTTTTCTTTCTCTTTTGCTTTATTTTTTTTTTCAGTTCTGTGTTCTAGCATGACTCTGGGCCTGTCGAGTTGCTCACCTATGAACTGCTGGAGGCACACAGCCTGGAGGAGTGGGAACTGGCCAGCAGAAAAGCCACCTGCAAAGCTCTCGCCTGCAGCTTGCTCTAGAATGCGTGGAACACGGTCTTTAGTGGACGATCCTTACAGTTTAAGAACTATCACTTGTGTGTTCTATTTTCAGGAGAGAGTCGACGTATCCCCCCTGCATCTGCTTCCTTTGAACAAGTGCTGTCCTTCTCCCTGGGTTGGTGACCTGCTCCGGGAGTAATCCGCTCTGCTACCAGCATGCCCACCCAGCTGGAGATGGCCATGGACACGATGATCCGAATCTTCCACCGCTACTCTTGCAAAGAGGGGGACAGGTTCAAGCTCAACAAAGGGGAGCTGAAGATGTTATTACAGCGGGAGCTCACAGAATTCCTCACGGTGAGGCCGTTTTCCTGCCTCGTTTGCTAGGGCGTGGATGGGATATGGCTTTAGGGCAGGTATTACGGACATTCTCTCTATAATTGGTTTCTAGACCCTAAGTGCTGGGAAGAGCCCTTGGAGATCTGTGTTTTCTGCACACATTGGCAGGAACCATTTTCCTTTCTGCTGTATAAAGCTCCAGGCACACTACCATTATTAATTGTGAGGATAACCCTGGGTATAACTAGTTATATCTTTTATTGCTGCAGCAAAATATTGGATATTGGATTTAAAAAAAATAAACTCAACGTAGTTGTCAACACCTGGAGAACCTAACTCTAGCAGTAAGGAAAATGGCTCCTGGGTACTCCTTTTTGCATGTTTCAAGGAGACACAGACACACAAAACACATGTTGTTTACCTGAAATTCAAATGTATCCAGGTGTCTAGTGCTTGTACTGGCTGTATCTAGTGAACTTGGTACTAAGCACCTTCAAATGTGTTAAAGCATCTTCATAGCATGTGGATAGAGACTGTTCTTCCCATGGGACAACTAAGGGAATTCTAAAATGTTCCGTGAGTGCTCAAAAGCCTACCGATGGTAAATGTCACTCCTTGTCCCTTTTGACTTTGAAGCTGCTGTTTATATGTCACACAGCTATCTTCAGGTGTCCTGGTCTCGTGCCTGCAATGTCCAGGAAATGCATTTCCGGTATCCATAATTCACTTGAGCCTGCTAGTGTTTGCTTTTCTGGACTTTGGGTCTGAGCTGGCGTTCTGTGGACCCGGGACAGGGGCTAGGCTCTAGGCTGGCCCTGGTCTTGTAAATAGACTCTTGGGAGTCGTGTTTAGGTGCTAAAATGAGAATGAAAATTCCCATACAAACCAAAGGAAGATGTGACCTCTGTTGTCATGATGCTCCAGGCCTCCGAGTTAGACACTTTTCTTTTTCTCTTTAGTGCCAAAAGGACCCCCAGTTGGTGGATAAGATAATGCAGGACCTGGATGCCAATAAGGACAACGAAGTGGATTTTAATGAATTTGTGGTCATGGTGGCGGCTCTGACAGTTGCTTGTAACGATTACTTTGTGGAGCAGCTGAAGAAGAAAGACAAGCAGGCTGACGCAAGGCAGAAATAGATGCAGAGTTCTGTGCCTGCTGTGAGTCTATATCCTTCCCGTTCCTAGACACAGTGATATGACTTATAGATGTTATATGTGTATGCTTATTAGCATTAATTAAGCTTTATTCACCCTGACATAGTGACTTTACACAAATACTCCAGGTCTTATGCCCTCTTTAAAATTTACCTATATTATTAAAAATGTTATGCTTTATTTGTCAAATAGAGAGCACCCCCAAATTTAGCCACTTTTGAAATGAGACTCAAAGCTGGTGAGCTTTCAAGACCTCATTCTTACATCGTGGTTTTGCAATTCCTTTATTCCTGAAGAGATTCCTCGGCCCTCCCTATGGGCTCCTAATTGTGCTTCAAATAGCAGAAGCTGTGAGGGGTTGTGAGCAGAGAGGCTGGTAAAGAGAAAGGCTGGGTTAGACTGGGATGGCCGGATTCAGGACGAGGTGTTCAAGCTGTAAGAACTGAATACAGCGAATCTTAGGAGTTGGTGTGTAAACGCCCTTCCACGCGCCCCGGGGCTGAGTGTTTTACTCAGGATACCAGTTCCCACAGCTTTCCCTAAGGTTAAGTGGCATCAGGCCTTGGGGATGGATACTTGCTCCCTTCCCTCTGTCCTTCTTAGTCTTGCTAGAGTGCTCCAACTTGTTTGCTGTGCCTAACATTAGTGACCTGGACAAGAATCCTTGACTAAATGTCAGCTTCTGGGGATCCAGACTGTGACAGGTAATCGGGGGAGTAGGAAGAAAGGAAGTTGATATTTGAAGGGATGATCCTAGGTACTGGGGAAGGCAGGGTACAGAGAGCATCTGTGAAGGGGACGCTGCTGGGTCTGGGTGAAAGACCGTGGCGGCTCAATGTGGCGGCTCACCATGGCTCAAGCCAGGATTCAGTGATGGAGGGGAAGGCATGCAGCTCAAGTGCTTTGGGGGGAGAGACTGGCAAGATCTATGGGGTTGACAGGGTAGACTGTTGTTGGCCTGACACACGGCCTGCCTTTCTCTGCACACCGGAACTGTTTTTGCAGGGTGGCATGCAACCAGAAGAAAAGATGTGTTTCCCAATATGTTGTACTGCTGGGGGAGCCAGGCCTACTGAACAACTGAACTAAGAAGGGGAAGCAGAAGCCTGCTAGGAATCTCTGGGGATGTTTTGCCATCTCTGGGAGAGGCTGTAGGTCTTCTACTTATTAATTCTTCCATTTCCATTGGAATGTCAACGTGAGGCTGGGGGTGGGGTAGGGTGGAGCGTCCATCTGGTCCTTGAGGATGGTGGAGATCAAAGACAGATGGGTTGTCTGTCCCAAACACGGCTCTCATCTTCCAGAGAATCAGAGCCAATTTATTCTGTGTCAAACATGAGTGACAGTGGCCAGGGAGGCAGCAGGAAAGCCAGGAGGGCGTGGTGCCTTGGAAGCCGGAGAAGGAGCAGTAAGAGCTGGGAGGAGGGTGAAATAAATCATGAGGAGCGAGATGAGAAGGGAGGATGGGTGGCTAGGCTGTCGAGGCAGAGGTCATCGTGACGGCAGTGATGCTGAAGGGGCTGATGTGGATTAGAAAAGGCCCCGGTCCCTGGCCCACAGGTGATAGGTTCTCAATAGGTATTTCTGTAATACACACAAGAAGGAATTTGCCAGTCACTGACGTTCTAGATCGAAGACCTGCTACATTTCCTTTACATAGAATGATGTTTTTGCCTTCTTCAAACCAGTTTTAAGCAGACAGTCTGTGGAGTATTCAGCAGATGGGCAGAACACTTAAGAGAAAAAACAAAAAACAAAAAACCTGTACTCTTCAATGCACTTACTCCTGACTTTTAAAGGGATCAGAAGAAAGTAAACAAAACTGGACATGGATTTTGACTGTGTGTGTAGCTTCTTTCCCTTTTTGTCTTTTTTATTTTTTAATTGAAAATAAAAACTTCATACAATAGAGGTTGCTTTGCCCATGAAGGCCTGGGCATCTTCAGGGGCCTTTACACTTTCCATTTCAATTTGATCTGATGTTTGCATTTTCTAAGTCGGGCTCACTGAAACATGGAAAGTAAATCCCCAAATTTCCTCGCTGTCCTGGTCTTGGAAGGATGTTCTCCCAACAGAAGTAAGGAGAAAACAATGTTCATTTCATGGTGTTTCTGAAAATCAATCAAAAGTAAGGAAAAGCAATTTAAGCCTCAAATTAGATTTCAAATGAGTAAGAATTACACAGTGTACCAGAAGTCCTTCTCAAGTAGACAGGCTTTCCTTTCTTCTCTACGTCTCTCTCCTCCCTTTGACTAGCTACACAAAATAAGTTTGTTGAAGGCAAAATTACTTAGTGCCTATGTCGAGGGACGCTGGTGTTTTGTTTTGTTTTGTTATTGTTGTTGTTGGTTTGTTTTTCATGTTCTAGAGTTTAAATAAACTTGAAACTTAAATACATTCACAAGCTGTCTCTGAATGGGTGCCTGCCAGTGGTCATTATTTACTGAGGTCCTTAAGTAGAGCCTGAGACTGTGTGGAGTCCTGGGTTTGAGAGTACTGACCATGTTAGAACACTGAACAAGAAGAGGGTCAGGGAAGGCCTTCCAGAGGCAGAGGTGGGCAGGACAAAGACATGGGGAGTGTTATTAAAGAATGAGAAACATGGGCAAGGCAGTGGGCATGGACTAGAAGGGATGCTTTGGGAGAGTCAAGTTCTGGGTACCCAAGGGCGTGGGGTGTAGGAAGGCAGGAGAACAGGGTAACGGGTACTAATGTGAGAAATCTGCAATTCTTTTTTAAACGGCCCCCATAAAGGTTTAAATCTTCATAGCTGAGGTGTGGAGTTCTTTCTTCATCTTACGACGGCCATGCTACTTTGAAATATAGATCTCTGAGTCAAGCGTGGCTGCTCACACATGCAAGACCAGCACTGGGGAGGCTGAGGCAGGAGAATCATTTTTTGTCTTAAAAATAAAAGCAAAAGTAAATAGATGACAGACAGACAAACAGATATATAGAGAGATATGCTCCACCACTCTGCCCCAATATTCTAATTTATTTCAGTAGGGCCTGGGCAACAGGACTCCAACAGCTGTCAACCAGTGTTAAGCCTCACTCAAGGGGCTGAAAGATGGCTCAGCAGTTGAGAGTGCTTGAGGTTCTTTCTGAGGACCCAGGTTTGGTTTCCAGCACCCATGTTGGTGGCTCACAACTACCTATAACTCCAGCTCCAGGGGATCTGACACTCTTCTGGCTTCCATGGGCACCCATTAGCATGTGACTTGCACACACACACACACTAAAGTTTTAAAAAAATAATAAAGACTTATCTACTCTAGACACTTTGCCTCATAGTAAATGTACTTGGACATCAAGTTGTCTAGTGACTACAGTGTCCAACCTCCCCGCTCTGCTGTCTTATTTTAACGGGGAGTCATGCTTTTCTAGCCTAAGGTTGCATTTACCCCTGGTGTGCCTGTGTCTTCCACTCTCCATCCCTCCCTTTGCCCCTGGCTTTCTCCTCCCTAATGTCCTTGTGTTGTCTGATTCCCTCCAGAAAGAACACGACCCGACCCGGCAAGAGCTATTGACTGTGTTCCTAACCCGCTCCTCTCGGCGGCCATTCCGAGTTCTCCCCTTTTATCCTAGAGTCTAGACTGTTTCTGTTAGCAGTACCTGTAAGTTTATAGAGAAGCAGACCCTCTGACCCCTCCCGCACCTAGGGAGGGTGATCAGATATTCATGTGCCCTAAAACTGAGCATCTGCCCTTCCTAGACAACTCTCAGCCGGGTGTTGATCGGATTGGAAGTCATTCACTATTTAAATGTGTTTTTCCCATTTTATTTATTTAGCGGTGTATTCGTGTGTGGGCATGTGAAGGTCAGAGGACAACTTGCAGGAGTCCGTTCTCTCCCACCATGGGGATCCTGGGGATTGAACTCAGATCATCAGGCTTGCTCCTGGGCTGTTTGTTTTGTGTCCCTAATATGAACTTTAAATAGCAGGATTTTGACATGATCTCAGTTTGGTTACAAGAAATACACAAGAGCTGGCAGGATAGCTCAGGCGGCAAAGGCACACACATACACATCACCACGCAAATGCAATTTTGCTTGCTTGTTTGTTTTGCTTTTCGAGACAGGGTTTCTCTGTGTAGCTTTGCTCCTTTCCTGGATCTCACTCTGTAGCCCAGGCTGGTCTCGAACTCACAGAGATCCGCCTGGCTCTACCTCCCGAGTGCTGGGATTAAAAGTGTGCGCCAGCACCGCCCGGCTCAAATGCAATTTAAAAAACATTTTTTTTTTTTTTTTTTTTGGTTTTTCGAGACAGGGTTTCTCTGTGTAGCTTTGTGCCTTTCCTGGATCTCACTCTGTAGCCCAGGCTGGTCT